TATATATATACACACACATGTATGTATATATATATATATATATATATATATATATATATATATAGAGTTTGTCAACTTGGGACCGAAAGTGGAGGTGCATGGGTGGCTGGATATTCCATGAAGAGGGAAGAAAAAAAAATCGCAGACAGCCCATAGATCAGAAAGGAAAGTAGAATTCTAAGAGAGGGGTTATAAATTAAACCGTTAAATTTGGCTTGGAAAAAGACCTCCATAATAGAGCTTAGGGTGATACATCTAACGCTTGCTATAGGTATATTGTGCACGCTAAGTGGCTTACAGCAAAGAACCAAAGACATATATGTACACACAAAAACATATACATACATACAATAATATATATATTATATTATATAGTTATTATAAAATTTTGGAGGGTCTAGATCTGGATGGATCAACTTAGTGGGGTGTATTATTCTTTAGCACACTTGCCAAGGGGAATGTTTGTGGGTCCCCACAAAGGACCAAAGAAAGGAGGGTTTGTCAGATCTTTCTCAATCTTTCACTTGGAAAAAAATAGAGAGAGAGAGAGAGAGAGAGAGGAAGAGAGAGAGAGAGAGAGAGAGGGGGGTGGCATTGAAAGCAATCTTCATTCATGGAAATGGGACACTTTGAAATAGTTTGGATTATACAAGTCAGTAGGTGAGGTTTTGGTTGCGGCAGGTTTTAGTGGCAGCTCTAATTAACATATAAAACGTACGTCTTCTTTGAAGATTTCCTTTATATATTTTGCAGTGAGTGATCATGTGAAGTGAGAGATCGAAGAATATCAAGTCTCACCTGGCCAGCTCTTGCACTCATCACTTTTCCTTCAATATGCAGCTAATTTGCTGTACGACTGGCAGGAAAATAAACAATATATATAATCCCTATTGGCTCATCATGATGATACAATGTTGATCATGATCACCTTAAATACACCTGCTTAATTGCAAAACATTATAGAGGGGAAAAATGGCAAGATTTCCAAGCAAACCATTTCAAATTTATTACTTTCTTTGACTTTTAATCAATAGTACTAAAGTTTTATTGGTAAAGTAATTAAAAGAAAACTTGAGATGTCTGCCAAAGTCTCTCTATTTCATCCATTTAAATACTCCATACAAAGCTTTACATTATAGTACATTTATTTATTTTTTTGTACCAAAGCCAAAATGACACATAATAGGGGGCTATTTCTTAGGTCACTCTCTAGTGATTGATAGAAGAAAATTACATATAGTAATAAGAGAGCTCCAATATTCTCTCTTCTCTTCTACTAATTCTTACCCTGAAAAAAAAAAAAAAAAAAATTCCGGTTCTCATCAGGACCTTGATCTTAGCCTCTTATCTTCTATCCTTACAGAGTTTCCCCATCAGAAGTCAGCCATTTTTCTCTTGAAGCCAATCTAAAATAAGCTTCAAAATCCCACCATGTTCAAAGACTAAAAGAAGATGCATCATCAAAAGGGTGAACTAAGAAAGCAATAATTAAAGAGATTAAAAAAAAAAAAAAGCCCATGTATCCTATGATCATCTGTTAGTTACCATGAAGATATCCAAACAGCATACCCACAATGAGAAATTAATATTTAAAAAGAAAAAAAAAACCCCCCCATTAAAAAAAAAAGACCCCCAAATTTCTTAATAATTTTGATTTTGATCTGATCTTTACCATGATCCTCCACCTAGCATTCCAGTCCAATACCCAGATGAGTCTTCTTGCTCCTTAATATTATTCTGCTCATGAATAATCCCAGCAGTTGTAGTGTTAGTGCTTGAGACTTGCTTCAAATCTTCAAAGGGAAACAAAAGCCTTCCACTTGTGTTTTCTTGAACATGATTCTGAAGACTTGCAAATCCACCGTTAGTAGTAGAATTACTCCCAAGCCCATCAAGTGAAAAATTCAAACTTGGCTTGAATTCAGTCAGAGAAAACCCTACTGTGTTAGGATCTGGAATTGGCATGGGCATGAAGGAGTTAAATCCTCTTGAAGTGAGCCCAGTTAGAAGCTCCAAAGCTGAAAGATGAGATGTTGTGGAAGGACTGGTAGTAGAAGTAGTAGAAATTATGTTGTTGTTATGGTTCTTGTTGGTGGTGTTGTTTTCATTGATGTTTGGCAACTGAACAAAGTCAGAAATATTCCGGAAATCTTGAGAAGAAGAAGTAGTAGTAGTTGGAGGGAAACCCAAGTTTAGATCTTGGCCTTGATTTATCATCATCTTTTGGGGTGGTTGATTGGTTGTGGAGGGTTGTACTAGATCAGGAAGTCTGGTGGTGGTGATCTTTGATGAAGATGGTGATGGTGATGATGATGATGATCTCTTGTTCTTCCTTGATCCTCCTCCAACAGGGATGTTCCTGAGGGACCCACCTTCAGTCCAGTACCTTCTACAAGTCTTGCAGAAGTATCTGGGCTGTGTGAGGCTGTAGTTGTTGTAGTAGCAGAATTTTGTGTTGGTTGAATTGCACCTTGGACAGTTTAGGGCTTGCTCTTTCTGAGGCCTTGCTAATTTCCTCTCTAGATTGTTGTTGTTGTTGTTGGTATTTGGAGGCTTATTTGGACATATTGCTGTGTTTGTGCATACTATCTCTTCTAGTGGTTTCACCACAATCTCCTATATATATATATATATATATATATTAAAAAAAAAAGATGATCAAGCAAAGAAGATCTGAAGAGATGAAAGAAAGACAAACAAAGAAAAACAAATTTGAGCTTGCTTTTTGTTGCTTTTTCTCAATATTAGAGATTATATTATATCATACTTTCAACAAAAAGAGAAGAGTAGTACTGAGAAAAGAAAAAGAAACAAAGAAAAGGGTGTCTCTTTTTAATCCCCTTTTTTCACATGAGCAAAGAAAAAAAAGATAAAGTGAAAACTTATTGAAGAACCGATAAAAACTAAATCCAACCCAAGTGGGCTGGGGACCTTCATCCACTAACTACACACGAGCATCATCATCTTTTTTTTTTTTTTTTTTCCTTTCTTTTTTTTCAGAAAGAAGATGGCTTCTCTCTTAAAAAAGACGGAAAAAAGAAGAGAATTATGTTCTTAATTAGTAGATCATCATAAAAAAATCAAAGCAACTTGTGAAATATTTCTTTGATCTCTCTCTGTGAATATATACCTGTGGCCATTGAGCAGTATCCATGGATGAAACTGAAGAAGAGGAGCAAACAAAGAGAGTGTTGTCCTCAAAGGAAGAGAGAGAAAAAAAAAATTACTTTGTTTTTTTGTTGAGAGCTAGTTCTTCTAAGGCTGCAGGGAAAGGAATGTTTTGAGAAGGGTTTGCGTGGACGTTCTAGGTGTTTGTATGACCCTTGCTTTATGTGTTGGGAGTATGAGAGAGAGAGAGAGAGAGAGAGAGAGAGAGAGAGATTATTTTGTGTTCTATAACATAGTATTATATTCTAAGCTTCTGAGTGGGAATATTTGTCTGCAGATTTATTAATTTAGTATGGTTTTTGGCCATGTTTATAATAAAGTTTTGAAATGAAACTTTGTGGGTGGCCAAGTCTTAATTTGTGTGTTCATATTTATAATATGGAAAGCTTTTTTTTTTTTTTTTGTTACTCATTTTCTGACCAGAAAACCGGGGTTAGGTCAGAATTCTTTAAAATTTTATTTGGTCAGCCTGGTTTCTTGATGAATCTCTTTTTCAAAAGATGTTTTTTTTTTTTTTTTGAGGGTGTCTATATATATGGTTTGAAACACAATGGATTAAAGCTTAAGTTTTGGCTTGCTAATATGGTACTTAAACAAAAAGGAAAAAAAGCGATATAATTGCACGTCTCTTTAATTTCCCAAATGAGAAAATTTATCTACAACACATAATGATGTTGCCTCCAGAAAATTGACTAAACTGCATATCATCCAATCCATGCTGTTTTTGCTTTGAAAACTGACTTGTACTACATAATCATATGACGGGTCATGGTTTGATGGACCAAATGAGTGAAAAATTAAGCTCATTTTTGCTTATTTGTCAATGAATAAACTAAGAAACTACTTGGGAAACCAAATTTCGAAGCAATCCCAATTGAATTCTCCTCCAAAAACTCTTAAAAAAAAAAAATTTTCAGACTTTTCTAATTTTTTAGAGTAACTATTTCACAGGAAAGATAGTAATGCATCTTCTAAAGAGAGGAAGTTTTGGCTGTTTCTTGTTGCTTGTTACTCATTTTGAGAGACTTTTGTCAAACAGAGATGTCATTAAATTCCGACCCAAATTTGTATGCATGATTTTGCAGGAACATGAAAAAGCGACTTGACTGCAGTATTGTACAACTGGGTTTTTACTTCTTCAGAAGCCGACTTTCAGATCCCTATTTATTGCTACTTTTTTTTTTTAAGGAAAATTGCATTTCATTAAAATACTAAACAATTATTTTAGTACAATATTAACTCATTAGAAAGATAGACGCACATTTAAAATTAAAAATTGAGAAAATATCTCAACACACTAATAACAAGCGGATTGATTGTTCGATTGAAAAAAACATCTCTCTTCAACATAAGTTATCGAGTGTTGGAGGGACAGATCGTCAAAACCCACAAAAAGTGGACATCTACACAATATAAAAAAAATTCTAGTCGGATTAAGATCACCCTATCGACATTAAACCGAACACTTGAATCTAATAAAAAATAACAAACCATACGAGGGTCGGGGGGGAAAACTACTAATCTTATTACAAACACAATTACAAAAAGAAAAGAAAAAAAAAAACTTCCAACCACCGCCAACGAAACCTCCGGTGAAGGGCGTCTGGCTAAAGAACCATCAAGGAAGATAGCTGGCGAAGAGATCTAACACACCAAACGAAAAACTCCCTCAGAAAGGAGACCGTCTAATCGGCGTCTAAATTTCTAATTGATTTAGATCTGTCCAAACGGAACCATCACATCGTACACCACCATCATTAATAAAAAGCTCACCAAGAGACGACGCCAGAGTTTTTTGCTACCTTATGTAAACAATATGTAGTTAAGACTACGTACAGGAACTTAGGTTTTCATTACCTTTTTAGAAAAATAATGGTTAATTAGAAAGGTTATGTTAATTCATGTTTGATTGCAAAATAATAATAACGAGTTTTTTGCGATAATAGTTAATCAATTATCCACATATTCGAACATTAGATCTAGTCATATCACATTAAAATACATAAGTTATAAAACATAGTCAAAAAATAAGAATCTAACGGTTCAAAAAATAGTATTCTACTAATATTTTTCGGATCCCTGTTTCAGTCCAACACTTGTCCCAACCAGTGATTTCTCAAAAAGAAAACGTACACTCGAACTCGAATTAATTAAGGGAACAACAAGGCTACCAAAATAGCTGGCTACTACAATTATGGGCACAAATGATGTTCTAGTAATTGTATATTGTCAAGGGACATTTTCGTCATTACGATTCACCAAGTTCTGATTATCACTTCGCCACTTGGCTGCATCAAGGTTCGTTTAATTTCAGCTATGGTTTGCTTAATTAATTGTTAAATGACATTTGAGAAAATTAGAATAGCTATTCTGTAATCCAAGTATATGAACTTGGGCTTCACATAATTCTTCCTATGAAATTATGAGCATTGACATGCACACATGTTATGGCCAGAAAAAAGTGCATTTCATATTTCTTGATCTTTTTTTTATTGGAGTATTAAGGGAGAATTCTGTAAATATCCTATCAGAAACATCAATTTTATTAATTTATTATATCTTTAAGGCAATATATTCAAAACTAGGACAAATAGGATATATATATATATATTGAACTTATGGATGGGAGAATTTAAATTCGTAACTCTTCAATTTATGGTAGAGTAATGTGTAGAATTACCGCTAAGTTATACATGTAATATGTTTCATATCTTATTATTGAATTCAAAAAAAAAAAAAAGATTCTACCTTTATTTTAGTCAATTTTTTCATTGTTCTGTCAAAAATAACATATACGGATGATCCTCTTAAATATTTTTATTTTTGTCTTTAAAGAAAGATTTCATCCTCCTTAAAAAAGCTATAAGCTATAAAACCGAAAGACGATGATCAGATATTAGTAAGGGAAATGATTCAAGCAATTAATACTTCTACTCAGTATTCTTTGGCAATTTAAAGACTATAGCCATCATGATAATATAGTAGAAATATCCACAAGTATATTCTTTACATAAATTGTAGTTGCAGAAAATGAATATTCCAACCCAAAGAACCAGAATTCTTTGTTCTGAGCAAATAGCTACAACAAAAATTCAATCAAAATTAATAATTATTGAACAGTTCGTTAGAACATAACGCATTTGATGAAAAATGTATAAATCTAATCAAGACGGATAGAATTTACGATACATGAAAAGTTATCTAATTACGAAGTAATGTTATGTTTAAATATTCTCTGGTTGAATTTTTATGTTTTGCAAAAGATTTTATTTCCTTTTGTAAATCTATCCCGCGTTCGACGAATTTTCATGAGAAATAGAAGATTCTATTTTTTTGGTTGAAATTTTTGTTTGAAAAGTAAAGGAAACAAAATGGAAGGACAAACGAAAAAAAAAAAAAAGAAGAATAAACTGTTATACACATATAACAATCACATCTAATCGATTGCATTACTAGGATGCTTATTTATTTTTCTTATCTTAGATTATTACTAGTGTGTTATTCGTGATGTTGCACGGGTGTATATTTACATATTTAAAATTTAAATGTTTTATAAAAAAAAAATACGTTACACGATAAAAAGTTCAATTTGTAAACAGTACACATTTATTTATATTTTTGTGTGTGTATATATAAATATTTATTCGCCTTTACGAGCTGCAATAAATAAATACGGAAAAAAAGAAAAATCAGTTATTGATTAATTATAATGAATAATAATAAATTTCTTTATATTTAATGAAATATTAATTTTAATATGTAATAAATCAACTCTACAGCACAGCACACGGGAAGCCGAAACGACAACTATTCCAAAGAGAAGACAACTGCAAGAAAAAGAAAACCTTAAAAAAGGCTAAAGACGTAACCTTAAGAGTATGTTTGGTAGGAAAGAAAAGTAGAAGGAAGGAAGAAGGTGGAGGAATTTTGAGAGGAAAAATGAAAATATAGGTTGTTTGGTAGAAGAGAAAAGATAAAGGAAGAGAAAATAGAATGAAAAATAATACATGTGCGCCCCACTATTTTTTTCTTTCCACAAGTGGGCAGAAAATGGGTGAAAAATGAGGACAACTCATTAAAGTGAGCAAAATTACTAAACTACCCTTTTCTCCATCAACATCCAAGCAAAAAATTTAAGGGTATAAAAGTAATTTACGAGTAAGATTTTTTCTTTCCTCCCAATTTAACTTTCAATACCAAATAAGTGAAGGTAAGCTTATTTTCTTTCCATCTTCTCATACCAAACAATATAAAAGAAAATCAATTTCCTTTCCATCATTGTTATTTTCCATCACTTTCATATTTCCTTTCTCTCATATTTTCTTTCCTTCCTACCAAACATAGCATAAAAAACGAACGGCAGAAAAACAAAAATAGCAAGAAATGAGTATAAATATTGAAAACCAAGAACTTTGAAGACTAACCCATATGAATTCCACAACACACCGCAAGAAGAGAAAAGGAAACAAAAAGGGCATAAGACAAAACCCTAAAAAACGAACGCAAGAAGAACAAAAATATCAAGAAAAGAAACATAAAAACAGAAAACAAACGGTAAAAAAACCAAAAACTTCAAAGATTAAACCATATCAACTCCACAATACACCGTAAGAAGAGGAAAAAGGAAAATATTTTAAACAAACGGAGAAAAACAAAACCGAGAAAAGAACCATAAAACCCAAAGAAAAAAATCAGAAGAGAAGAACAACATCAAGAAAAAAATCTAACAGCCAAACCGACATTCGCGCCGGAGAGAAGTGAATAACCACGAGAAGAGAAAAAAAAAAAAAAACAGAAGACCAAAAGATAGAAGAAAAGTTTTAGAGAGCAAAGCGGGTGAGAGAAGAGAAAAAGGAAAGAGCTACAGCAGCCAACTGGAGACCACAACACGAGGAAAAGAGAAGGATGTGTAGCCACATGGAGGGCACAACACGGGGATAAGAAAAATAACTGTAGCTAGCTGGAGACAACAGCACGGGGAAAGCAAAAAAAAATAGAGAAGCACGTGTCTGAGATAAGAGAACGATGAAAAAATCAAAGGGAAAAAAAAGTTTAATGTTCAAAGAATAGTAAATCCCGACCTCCTATAATAATATTGTATAATGACGCATAATTTTGACATTAGAAATTAGTGTATACTTTATTTTTTTAAAAATAGATGTGTACATTAATTTAAAAAATTCAGAACATAAGAAAATATAAGAGAAAAAAATAAATAGAGTTGCATTAATAAACAATCTCTTTGCCAAGTACTTAGAAATATTAATCGGGACCGCTTTGATTTAGAGTCACCTTTTTTTATATTTGAAAAAAAAAAGATATAATTAAAGTCAAAACGCATAATCTTTAAAG